AGTACCTGGGCTGTTAGAAGGGTAAGCTATAACATGATTTAAACACTAGTACTGCCTGTCCGTTGGCCGCAAGTGTATATTACGCAGTGGTTGACGGGTTTCAGCTTAAATATACACTTACAATTTCGGTCGATGACTATAGGTCTTAAATATACTGATGTATACCGCGGACAGAAATAAATTTCGAAGGAAATTAAATAGACTGAGACCACTCTACAATCAAATAGGATACATAAATGCACATTCAAGATACTTTGGATCAAAAATCCGAGACACCACTCAATAAAGGTTTTAAGGTGTACTGCAACAATAGTTAGCATGAAAGTGAGCCTGCCAAGACGGTTAGCTTGACATAAAAAGACACGCAAAATAATTCAGAGGCTAGCAGGCGAGTGTACCCTCCCATTTGTGAGACTGAAACAGGAGGCGAATGGGGGGATACTGTAGGCATTCATTTGTATTGAGAACACGATTCGATTACTGGGACAACACTTTTATTCGCCCGACGTTTCGATATCCGTCGCGGATTTATCATCAGAGACATAAGCAGAATTCAATAGTTAAAACGGTTCCCCCCAATCATTTGTATCATCCAACATCATCGCCTGACAGTCCATATATGCTAACTGTACCGGACAGCAATCACTATACAGACCCCCGCTTCCTTGGTTTCGTAACCCGAACAACCAAAGGTCAGATACCTTCATTACAAACCATCCTACTGCAAAGACGCAGTGTAGGCAGTCGATTGAATTAAGCTCGAACGCAGATGACCCAGATAAAAGTCTTCTGCGCCTTCGTTTGAAGCCACTGCTGTTCGGGCAATTTACGACATGCCTTCTGAGTACATCACACATGACGTAATTCAACATAGACCAATTTGCCATAATGGCAATAATGAACCGGCTTTGGTGAAAGGGAACAGATGAACATCTTGTAAAAAGGCCAAAAGAGAAGGGAAGATAAGCTCTGGTACCTCAACGAGGACCGACGAGACGTGTGCACAAAGAGCACAGAGCAGACGACCACAGACGAGACAGAGGATATTCTCCTGGAATCGGTGTGAAGGAGAGGCACAGCTAACCAAATGCAGCTGGTTGAAGAGATCGTCAAAAGAGCGTGGCGGCCGAATCAAACGCGGAGGATACAGTTGGGTTCCAATGTCCATCAGGGTCTGAAACAAGCGTCGCGGCAAAAACAAGATCAAAGTTACAAGTAATCAGGGATTAGGAAAAACAGAAACAATTTCTTCAACGACACTCTCGATCGCAAACCAAAATGTTACGCTTCTCGTTTTGTTATCACATTGTGTCAGCTGGCGACCAGTTCCCTACCAAGAGGCCTTACGAAAAGTGCTTTTCCACCGAACTTTCTAACCCGGACAGCAAACAAGACAGTCTTTACACATATCAACTGGGACGGATAGGATACCACAAGATCTGTAATAAGTAAATAGCCCCTACTGCATCCCACAGAACCTCGCTTTGCACTAAACAGTCGACAGCACATAAC